GGCTTCACTTAACTTGAAAAAACACCAGTAAAGGTTTCTGCTTTCGTGTAGACTTGTGCTTGGTTTGCACTGTAAGACAAGATGAGAAATGATTGGATGTGTGGGGGGAGGTAGGGAGCTGGGTGGGTATATTCTCACTCTGCCACCTTCTTTGAACTGTGTGCTGCCAGCTTTGTGCATTCCTCCCCTCAGGGTGAAGAGAATAAAATTACCTGCCTGGAGAACTTCAGAGTGAAAAATCAGTGCCGCAGCCTGATGCCAAGATGGGTTCTGACACAAATGTTCAATAGGGAATAGAGAGGGGACTCCAGGGAATTGTGCTATGATACAGCTGGTAAGTGAAAAATCAGTGCCGCAGCCTGATGCCAAGATGGGTTCTGACACAAATATTCAATAGGGAATAGAGAGGGGACTCCAGGGAATCGTGCTATGATACAGCCGGTAAAACCTGCCTTTGAGAGCTGAGGAATATGGGTCACAACTGTGAACAGGTTATCCCTGTCTCCGAACGTGGTTTCTCCATATTTAAAACAAGAGAAGAGATCTGAAGTGACGTTTGGAAATTTTGTTTGGGAACCTGGATGATTCCAAACCCTGGCAGACCTGGGAGAAATTTTCCATGGAGGGAACCTGAGCTGAGGGACAAACTTGGCAGAGGAACAAACAGCACCATTTTCACTTCTGCCAGGGCGGAGGGCTGGGCTGGGCGGGGGCCGTTCCATGGAGGGAACCTGAGCTGAGGGACAAACTTGGCAGAGGAACAAACAGAGCACCATTTCCACTTCTGCCAGGGCGGAGGGCTGGGCTGGGCGGGGGCCACAGAGGAAGGACATGATGTCACAGGCAGGTGCCAACACTTCTGGGCACAAGAAGTCCGATACTGCCTTTGATTACTGGAGCTCTCCAGAAGCGTTGCAGAGACATCAAACTTTCAGTGCATGGCTCTCTTAATAAGAAAAAGGCAAGGCCTTGATCTGTCTTTTCCAATCTCCTTAACATCGTAAAAATAGTAAGAAGGGAGTCTGGAGAAGAACCTTGAGTTTATTTCCTCTCCGCTCCCTTCCTCTCCCTTTCCCTTTCCTCTAATGTTATCCCTCCTCTAAACCATAGAAACTCCTGATTTGATTTTTAACCTGAGGCATTTGGTTCTCCCATTAGGCTACCTGTCCTGTTTTGGTGATTTAGAGGGCCATTGGAGCAGTGAGTAGAGACCAGGCTGGAAGGCTACAGATTCGGAATTCTTTGAGATCATCTCTTCTTAGACTATCTCAAAACTATTTTATGAAATTCAATAAAAATTAATTATTGAAGAAATAAAGGAAAAAAATTCAAACTCCAACCCTCCATTGTTTATAAGTAAATTAGCCATAAAGTTACTTCTTTTGAGACAGGGTCTCCCTGTAGCCAGGCTGGAACTTGCTATGTAGACCATGAGCCACCATACCTGGCCTGCTCTGTTCTGTCACAACTTCTGAATGCTTGTTCTCGATTTGGAGGACTGGCTCTTGCCCATGCACCATATGCTGAATAACGTGGGTATGTGGTTCTCACGCTCTTCCTTTCTCCCAACCAAACACCCCAGAGAAGTAGTTTGGTGGAGCATGTGCCACAGTCTTTGGAATCATATGGATCTGGAGTCAAATGCTGGCTGTATCCCATGCTGCTGTTGGGAGCCTGTACCAGGTGCTCAGGGCCTTACGTCTCTGATGCTCATATCCTTGGGAAGGACACTGACCTTTCAAGATTGCTTTGAGGAATAAATGTGGCAACTTGCTGTGCTCCACAGGGAATAAAGCACAGTTTAAGGATGGTGAGATGAGATGGCTCAGGGGGTAAAGGTGCTTTTGGGCAAGCCTGATGTCCAATCTCTGGGACTAACATGATGGAAGGAGAGAAGTGTTTCCTGCAAGTTGTCCTTTTAACTCCACATGTGTGCTGTGGCACGCCCTGCCCCCCCCCCAATACATGTGAGCCAAAAATGGGTGACCATTGTCTGGGCACATGGATTCAGGTTGCTTTGAATGACATGTTCCACCACAGATGTGGTTAAATAAACTTGTTCTATTCACCGGATAAAAGAAAGTCATAAATCCATACATTTACCAGAAATGGTGGTAGAGGCACCAGGGAGGAAATCTGTGCTATGGGTTTCAGATGCTATCTAATGCCATTCTCAGATTTCAGCTGGTGGAAGCTAATGGTCTGTTAAGATAATACATTACAAACATTTTAGGTGATAGTTAAAAGCCTATGAGATCAGATATAGAGGTGGGTGATGAATGAATGGGACTAAAGAGCTGGAGATCATTCTGGCTCCTGATGTGCAGCATTTCAATGCTCCACCATCACCAAGATCTCACCAGCCATATGTGGAATCTTCAACATCGGCTTGGCCTCTTCAGAGAACTTCAGTTTACAGTGTGTAAAGACCCACAGCCACTCCACAGATGTTCGTTTTTCTACTCTGTGGAGAAGGGAGCGGGGCTAGGTTTTTAACCATCTCTTGAAGGCACCATAGTCTCCTCAGTCTAACTTTTCTTTTGGACTCCTACTCTCTTGGCTAGTCATTTCTCATCCCTTCCCTGCCTGCTCTAGCTGTTTATCCTCCTGATAGCATGGTTTGTTTCTCTCAGTTGCATGAGGGTAGAAACTAAATCCATTTATTTATTGGGATTTTCTATTCTCTTATAAGGTACAGAAGACAGCAGGTGGCCAATAATATTTGCATCTATCTATATCTATATCATCCTGGTTCAAAATCTGAGCTCATCATTGGGCTGAGGAATCAGTGTCTACCCTAGGACTGACCAGATTCATATCATAGAAGTCATGAACATTATCTTCTACTACCAAGACCCAGTGGACAGAGGGAAGAGCTAGGGCCACTGTCTGGTCAAATGGGACAGGAATTAGTTGCCTTTCACCAGAGCCTCAGGTTCTTGTGGAATCCAGGGGGATAGGATTGGCTAGAGAAGTTCCCTAAAGCACATGTAGAGTTCTGGAAGGGGGGAAGCACATGGGAAGGGAAAAGGGTCAGAGTGCAGGTACAGTGGGGTAAGGAAAAAGTAAGACAGAGGAAGGCCATTTAAATCATGGGTAGCTAATGTTAAAGCTGGAAGAATCCTTAGAGATCATATAATTCAGGTCTTTGGGACATACCTTTGTGGGTTTTTTTTTTTTTAGCATTTTTATTGAATTTTTGCGATTTCCAGACAATATAATTTGATGACATTTATATTCCCTCTCCCATCCACTCCTCCCTACATCCCCCCCTGCCCCCACATTTAATTCAATGTACTTTCTTTGGGTAATAACGCCTATAGAGTCTAACTTGAATCCCAAATGTTCTCCAGTGTGGGCTCATTCACTCGAGCTTGCATAGGACTCGCACATGCTGTTACCATTGCTTTGAGTTCATTTGAGTAACTGGCCAGCTGTCTGGAGAACTCTGCACCCCCACTGTCATCCACCACCTCTGGCTCTTATAATCTTTCCACCTCCTCCTCTGCAATGATTCCTAAGTCCTGAGCTCCAGAAGCCTGACAGAGGCGTCCCACCTAGAGATAAGCACTCTGCAGCCCCTTCCTCCCCACACTAGAAAGCCATAAGTTTCTGTGTCAATCACCATCTGCTGAGTAAGGAAACTTCTCCACTGAGAGTTGAAAGATGCATTAATCTTCAGCAGTGGGTGAGAACCTGACCTAGCACAGTTCATTCTGATCATCTCTCTGGGACTGAGAGTCCATATTATTATGAGGGTACCACAGTTATATCTCACAGGAGGGAGCCATAAGCTCCAGATCACAGGTGGGGAACCATAGCTCCAGCTTACAGGAGGGGAGCCACAGCTCCAGCTCACAGGAGAGGACCACAGTCCCAGCTTACTGGAGAGGGCCACAGCTCCATCTCACAGGAGGGGAACCACTGCTCCAGCTTACAGGAAGGGACCACAGCTCTAGCTCTTTGGGACATATCTTAATGTCACATTTCAGTATATAGACTTGACTCTGGGACCAGTGGCCTGGCTTCCAGGTGTTCATAGCTGAACCTGTTCATAGCCTGAACCTGTTTCCTTGTCTGTAAGTAGGATAATATATCTACACTGTAGGGGGCTATAAGGAGGAAATGCATAAAATACATGTAAAGGGCTGAGATTAGTGTCTGATGCACTGATTGTTAGGTGTAGAACAATGACTCTTCTTGGCCTTGGAAAAACTGAGGACTTGCTTAAGGAAGTAGAGCAAAGTGGTGGCAGAGCCTGGGCTACAAGGTGGTAGCAGAGCCTGGGCTAGAATCCCAGTGTCTCACACTTCAGTTCCTCCTGTCCCATTTTCC